GCTTAAAGACGCCCCAGGAGCATTTCTGGTCCCAAAAGGTGTTTCTGGTCCCCACCTGTCGTTTTGCTCCTCAGCAGGGCTTCCTAAAAACGCTGCAGGATTTCTCAAACATGCATGTATGAGTCAGAGCAAGGCTTTGGGCATGTTTTTATGAGAGTATAACATTATAACATGATATAAAACTCAAAAAAGTTGATTTTACATGATATTGCCCCTTTAATTTGTTTCAATACTACCTCGGTGTATTTCAGCTCACTAGGAGTTAATGTTTTATATATCACAGCTAATAAACCGAAATACAACTAAGAGCAAATAAACATTAAATTAGTTAACTAATTCTGCACAATCAGACCAATAAAGCAGCACCTAAAGCTGCTGTGTTTCACCGACTCTGACTCCAGACTGGTGTAAATATTTGATGCTGAACACATAAAATGGAAGCAGCCTAAGAGAAAAGCCGAGTCCGTGCATCACGTTCAGTTAAATCGGCTGAATAAGGAGGAGGAAGTGGTCTGAACCAATAAAACTGCTGAATAATTCAGCCAATCAAATAAAGATCCAGGAAGTTTCAGTGACTCAAATAGTGATCAATCTTTTTTCATTTATTATATGTAATTCATCAACTTTTTGCCAAGACAGACATTATTTGGAAAAAAATCTTATTAATCTCCTTTTTTTGTAGTCAATAGCGGCTTTAGATAGCTGCCCCTTCATTCAAGGGTTCCTATCAGTGGTCGGCTGCGTATCATCTCAAAGCTTGAACAGAAAAACCCCACAAACATCGATGAAGATATCAATCACTGTCAGACTCTGAGACACCAGGATTATCTTTCTTAAATAGATACTTAAAGCAGAAACTCCACTGATTTCCATCACAGACTTCAAAGTATCTCCACAGCTTTAGGGGCGGATTACTGACGGCGAAAATGAAGTTCAATAAAACCGTTTATGATATCAGAAAGAGCCGCACCAAATCTGATTTATATATGTATAAAAAAAACGCCTCAAGTTATGACATCATTTGAGTCAGCAGTAGAGGAAGCAGGAAAAAAATTAAAATGAAAATAAAACTCAGGGTAAAGAATGATGGCACTAATAGGTTTTCACAATAATGCAGGATTTTTGTGTATTATTATGGCCACCCAGGTGTGTGTGTGTGTGTGTGTGTGTGTGTGTGTGTGTGTGAGTCTGTCTTTGTGTGTTTAATACAGATTAAAGCAACACTGAAACTGTGTAATATCAGCTTCTGGTTCCGTGGAGAGTTTAAATTCACAGTAGCAGAGAGGAGAGGAGCTGATAAAGGCGAGCTCAAGGCAGAATGGAGAACACAGAAAGGATAGATAAGGAGGGGAGCAGGAGAAGAAAAATTAAAAAAGAAAAAAAGAAAAGAAATGCAGCAGCGTGGGGGAGAGGAGAGATGAGAGGGAACTGAAGACAGGAGGGAATTAGGAGAAGATGAGTTCTTACACCTTCTGTTCTCCTTTGTTGGTTTACTTGTTTAACTTTGAGAGTCTTAGCTGCAGTTTTTTGTGTCGGAGACTTGATGCTGCTGCTTATGGTGTGTGTTTGTGTGTGCGTTTGTGCGTTTGTATCTTCCTCTCAGTCTGGAGCTCTGAATGTGCGTGCTGAGTACAATACGAAGTGCGGTGTATCAGTGAAGCAGCTTGTCAGGTTCTATCACTCTGTTACCTGTAACTCTGTCAGCAGGAGATCCCAGTGATTGACAGCTTTCTGACTCACTGGCTGTGTGTGAGTGTGTGTGTCTGTGATGCATTCATGTGTGCTCGGCCATTACGCAGCATGCGGTACGAAGCCTGGCTTTTTTTACTCCAGACAAAATATTAAAAGTCCCGAGAATAATTCAACATCCGTCTGCTTCAGTGCTTAAACACTCACAACAGGGCTTGATTACCTCTCGGCAGGAGTGGGGGCAGGATAACAAAAACAAGCAAAGACCCAACTGAAGGCAGAGTGGCGCCGTGGAAAAGGGCGAGAAATGAAAAGCAACTCGACAGGGGAGAGGTGGAGGGGTGGGCCAGCACTTTGATCTTGATTGGTGCGGTGGCTTCACCACCAGATGTAGGATCTAAAGAGGCTCGCGAGTCGCCAAACGTTTCACAGGACTTGCTGTCAGCTCCACCGCACAGACTGTCCGTCCAAGATCCCTCAGCCACTTAGCCCGCAGCATCCCTGTATCGTAGCCTAGCAACGCCCCGCAGCGCGCGGCGCACCGCTGTTGCTGTTTAGCAGGATGCTTAGAAATGACAGCTGGAAAATTTCAGCTGAGGTCCTACCTGAAATTACATATTGCTCAGTTAAACTGTCAGCTGTCAACTCTGGGGCGTGCCTGAGCCTCAGTTATTAGGATGACTTCATTCAGGTGGGAACATTTTTTTTTATCAAACCGCTCACTTGTCAGCTTAAATGGATGTCATAAAATGCTTGTGTGAACATAAAAACAAGTGTGTTTTGTAGTTGCTAGAGGAGGGAGCCTTGTCCCAGGTGTTGTCCAGACAACCAGGTGCTCTGGAGCTCACCTGTGTACCGATAAGCCTCTAACCCCCGCTGGCCCTCGCTCCCCTGTCAAACACA